CCCCCCGAGTATGAATACCCATGGTATATGTATATACGCTCGTCACCTCATATATACGTCACCTCCGCATGTAGCAAACAATATCAATTATTGAGAAAATTTTCTCCAATCAAAGCTAGGAAAGACACTTATGTCAAACAAAGCCAAATTAATACTCTAAAATGCCTTCCCACGCAAATTGACCTTCGAACGGCTCGAATCTAGCTAAAAATAGCTCAATAACATTAAACAAACCCATAAGAATTAAATACAAACGATAAAGGTTGAATCTTTGATCAAATACTCAAAGTCAACCCGGTCCCGTACCCAAAAACCTGACAAAACTAATAAATTCCGAACACCCGCTCGAATACGATGTCGAATATACAAGTTTCAAATCAACTCCAAATCGAGATTTAAATCACCATTTTCACTTTTAGAATTTTTTTTGCCAAACCACCAGTTTTTCTTTTAGATTCACCGATCAAATGCCAAAATCAAAGATAGAATCATGAATAATAATCAAATCAAAGTCAAGAACACTTATCCATTCCAAGTGGGTAAAAATCGCCTCCATTCGAGCTCCCAATCTCAAAATATGATAAAATGAGTTCAAGTACTGAAAATAACAACTTAAATAATATGCTCAGAAGTACCCTTCATGATCGCGGAACAGCCTTTACAATCGCGAAACACAAAATAACTCTACCCAGGAAATAATTCATGCGATCACGTCCGAGCCCCGTTATCGCAGAAGCCAAAGAACCAGAACACCGTGAACGCGAGCCCATCACGCGAAAGCGAAAGACAACGAGTTGCCTAGCCTCCTCCAACTCTATGAGAACGCGACCACGACCACACGACGACGAGTACAGAGATCTACCTTCCAACTGCTCGCAAGCGTGAGATATACCTTGCGAACGCGGAGCATAAAGCTCTAGCTCCCAAAACACACATCGCGAATGCGCACCTAGGACCGCAAACACGAAACACAAATTCCTAATTAACCAAAATACTCTATGCGATCGCAAAGCTCATCAAATGCACCAGAAAACAGCAATGCAAACTCAACCAATGATGATCTGAAACCATCCTGAATCACACCCGAACGCCCGGGACCCCATCCAATCGTATCAACATGTCCAAATACATCATTCAAATTTATTCGAAGGCTCAAAATATCACAAATAACATCAAAACCACGAATCGAACACCAACACTCATTGTGCAACCTTCCAATTCAAGAACTTTAAATATTCACAACCAAGCGTCTAATATATACCAAATCAATCCGGAACGAAACCAAACTTTACACACAAGTTTCAAATGACAAAACAGACTTATTACAAGTCGTGGAATAACAATTTGAACCTGATAGCCTTAGAGCCAACTCATGGTCACACTTATGAAATTTCTAAACCATCAAATTTCTAACTTTCGGCAAAAAGAGTCAAATCATCCTAGGAACCTCTAAATATAAATTTGACATACGCCTAAGTCCAAAATTACCATACGAACTTATTGGAACCATCAAATACAAATCCGAGGTTATTTACTCGCAAATCAAATCTTGATCAACTCTTCTAACTTAAAACTTCTAAAATGAGAATTATTCTTCTGAACTTCCCAAAAATTAAAACCAACCAGCACGCAAGTGGTAATACATCATATGATGCTACTCAAGACCTCGGGTCCAATTTTACGCTATTTTGGTTCCGGACTTCAATAATGCTTAATATAAATAAATAGATCTTAGTCGGATCTTTTGTTCGTATTGATTTATGTTATGTAAAAAAGAAGTACTCGGTTCGTTTGTTCATATTGAATTACTTCATTAGTATTCAGCTTTATCAATGTTGATGCAATTTTTTAAAAACAAATCAAATAAATTACTGTATAATTTTGTTATTATCTACACTACACCACACTATAAATTTGAGTCAAGCTTTCAAGTTTCTAGAACATTCTTAATAGTAAGCAGCGCAGCATCTTAGTCAAGAGGAATTGGATTATGAATAGACTTCAGAAAATGTTTAGTCCGACAGGCATTACTTTAACCTTTATTAGTTCGTAAACATAACATAGTACGCCATCATATAGGAGGATGATGACATTTCAAGCCTACGTGTACAAATGCCATTGGCTCTATGACTTACATGGCCCTTTATCTTCTTCGTTACGTTTCACAAGATATTAATCAGTGATTTTCGTACTATTCTACGCGGTATATGCAGCAGAATCCAAGAATTAAAACGCGGTCTCTTTCTTTATCTTTGCTTGGGTATTGGGTTTCTTACAAAATCACAGTCACATCACTCATATGTCACTTTCTCTGATGTTTCCTCTTTATTGTTGAATTTTCCAGGAATCTTTTTGTAATTCGTTAAAAGGGTTCTCCACATCACCCATTCAACACCCTTTTATTAGTATTTCTTTTTCTCTAATTCAGCTCAAATCAATAGTCCATTCTTTCACTTTTTTTTTCTTTTTGGATTTTTTATTTTAAGTTTGAATTTTGGTGATGGCCGTAATTGCTGGAGATAATTCGATCGCCGGACTTCCGGTGGGCAAACACTTGGGAGTTCCACCATTGAATACTTTACCTGTTGGATATCGTTTTCGGCCCACGGATGAGGAGCTTGTCAATCATTATTTGCGCTTGAAGATCAATGGTTGTCACGACAAAGTTGCTGTCATTCGAGAAGTTGATATCTGCAAATTCGAGCCCTCGGACTTGCCTGGTCAGTTTTCATCAACTTTTTCACCCCTTCTTGTTGTAAATGCTTTTTTCTTTATTTTTTTAGGTTATTTTTTTGTGTGTGCTGTTGTACTACTGGTCAGCAAATTCATGAAGAAATCGAATTTTGGGTGTGTGTGAGGGGGGGGGGGGGGGGGGGGGGGGGGGCGGGGGAGTGGGAGGGAGATATTCATTAACTAGTCAGCGAAGTGATTTGAGTTATGTTTCTTATTCAACTCCTTGAAAGTAACAATTCATCTTCTCGAGATAAAAAAGATTGTAGCTTAGTTAGTGTTACTCATGTTGATTAACAGCTTTGAGGCTCTTGATCATCTGTTGACCTACTTTTGATTTTTTAATATGCAAGTATAATTTTTTTTCTTTCTCATAGTTGGAAGAACTGTGCTTAGCTTTGTTTTTGAGTGCTTTTGACCCTTTTCCAGTAGGACGTCTTGAAATGAATAAACAAAGCTAGATAGCGTAAAATAATTGTTTACCCTATAACAATTGAATTTATATGTGGTTTTAAGGATATGCGGATTAATTCAATACAAATGATCAATAGCATTAGATTAAGCAAATGAAAGACGTAATAAATAGCCAAACCAGTGATAAGAGTGATCCCGGGCTCGGTTAATGGCTCAATGAAGAACCTGCTTTCAACCCGAGCTTGCGCTTATGAAGAACTCAAGAGCAAAATTAAGAATTTTGAATAACACAGAGAATAAGAATATATTGCCTTGATATGCGTGTTACAATGTCTCATATGAATAATAAGTTTTCCCCTTTATATAGTAGGGGAATTTCACCCCAAGTACAATTCCAAGAAAGGTAAAAATCTCCTGTTTCGCTAATCACTGATTTTATGCCGATACGGGCCGAGATTTACGTCGTGATATCCGGTTGGGCACGGATATCACGGCCCTTTGTTAGTCCTGTGTAGCCGTTTGATAATGTTCTACGAAGTCTCGAGGCTCGAACCGGACTCGGAGGACGTGGTTCCGATGCCTCTGAGGGCAGGCGTCGTGCTCGAACCCCGATACGAGAGGCTCCTCGCCCAGATTCCGATTTCTTACGATCATGTTCCTGCTTCGTTTGTCTTGCCGGGAAACCGAGATGTTCAACTGGCTCGATTTTACCCATATACAATAATCAAGGTTTTCGCTCCACTAAATATCATTTGTAGCAATGTGATTCATTTGGTATACTCTGATGATGTTTATTGTATTATTTTTTAATTTAAAGGGATTCAGGGTGCAGCTTTCCCTGCACCCACACTTTATTTCTGTGTAGTTACAGCTCAGAAACTCGGACAACAAAAAAAACCCTTTCTCTTTGTAGCTTTGAAGTTCATAGGATTAAAAAAGAACATAATTGTATAAATTGTTTCAAATTTTTCGCAGATTTGTCTGTGGTAGAGTCGAAGGACAATGATTGGTTCTTCTTCTGTCCCATAGATAGGAAGTACCAAAATGGGCAGCGATTGAACCGAGCAACAGAACAAGGCTACTGGAAAGCTACTGGTAAAGATAGGAATATAGTTACTAAGAAGGGGGCTAAGATTGGGATGAAGAAGACTTTGGTATACTACATTGGGCGAGCTCCTGAAGGGAAGAGGACTAATTGGGTGATTCATGAATATCGTGCAACTGACAAGTCATTGGATGGTTCACACCCTGGACAGGTTGGGCTTCTGAATCTCTGATCTCTCTTTAATTTGAACTTCTTTTTCATGTATCTTGGTTTTTGGATAATTTTATTTTAGCTTGAAAAAGGTTGGTTGTGCCATATGTGAAATTATAGGTTAAGCTAATCTACTTGAAATGTATAGTGGTATATATGACGGTCTTTTGACTCAGAGAAATCACGTCTAAGGTGACATGAAATCAATAGTGTTTACTTTAATGGAATGGAATATGATAGGCTAGTTAAAGTATAGACTTATAGTTAGTCCGCTTATCTTCTGTTGGGAACCACAAAATGTTGGGTGTACCAACTTATTTATAATTTTTACATACCATTCGTACGGACAGCACAGTTCCTACATAAGGCAAAGTTAATTTACAATAAGTTATTTTATAATCCATAATTCTATATGATCCTACTCTTTGACTTGTCAGTAGTGTCAGAAGCATGTCGTAATTGGGTGTTTGGCTCACCCACAATCATCTATCTAGCTATCCCAACTATTTTGTCGTATTAGATGCATCAGATTGATAAATGCATAAGTAGAATCCTTTATTATAACCGCAAAAAGATTTTGCTGAGCATCTAAACCCATTATTGTATATGATTGCACGTTTATTCTGTAAAAGAGCTTTAATAGGTTCGATTGACATTTCTTGCAAGAAAAGTCGCACTTCTAGCTTCTTTTCTGTAAAGAATTGTTTATAATGCCATTGATACACAAACTAGTAACAGAAATCAGACAACTTAAAGTTTAGATGTCCCTGTCAACAACTGCAGATCAGATGCTCCATTGTTAGATTTGATCGTTATTAGCTTATGTTTCTATTCCTGTTTGTGATGTAGCCACGTAACTTGGTTCGTATTGATAACATTTTCCTGGTACAGGGAGCCTTTGTGCTTTGTCGTCTATTTAAGAAGAATGAGTTGAAGCAAGATGAAAATGTTGAAAGTTCACACTTGGATGAGGTTCAACAGCTTGTTTCTTCTCCTGCTGTTGGAAAATCACCTGATGATGAAATATCAGATGCAGTGGCTCCATCTCCAATCATGGAAAGTGATAGTGATAAAAGAAATCCACCAAAAATCTCTGGAGGCGAAACACATGGCACAAGATTACCTATTGAAAGTCGTGGCGATAGTTGCACTGTTGATGATACTGAAGATCAGATGTTGGACATAACATCAGTACCAGTAAGTAGACTTATTACATTTTTTTTTGTCTTATTTTAAATATTGAGTTTTCCATGCAAGACAATTGATTAAACTAATATTCTACTTTTTTTTTTTTGCTTCATATTTTAGTCGGATCCCGAGTTAGAGAAATTATTGGAAATCTTTTGTGACACTTCACCACAGCATCTTGATTGGAAGATCTGCTCCCCGTTGCATGCACAGTTGCAGGTGGAGTTTGGATCTTCGTACTTACATGCTCCTGTGATCAATGAGATGAGCCATGATCAAAAGGATGTCCAGTTTCAGAATGGAACAAATGCCTTTGATATTAATGAGTTTTTCAACTCAGTTCTTGACAGCTCTGATGAGCTTTCCTATGAAGATTCTGGACTGGAATTGAGGACAGTCCAGTTTGCATCAAACAGTATTAACACTATAACAAGGTCACCAGTTAAGGACTTTGGATTGTGTAGTGAGTCGAAGGCACAAGTTATGCAAGAGCCAGTAAGTGGAGCTCTGTAGGTGTCTTTCTTTTTCGTGCAATTGCAAGTTATCTCAAGACATCAGTTACTTGAAAATTTAACTGTTTTCTCGGAAAACTGATCTGCTGATGTTCTTTTATCCCAGGTTGGGACAGATTTTTTTGAACCCGAGGTGCTGCGGGGAAATTCTGCGCAGACTGCACTAACGAGAGAGGTTAATTCTGTTGCAACTACAGTGGAAGTGGCGTTTGCGACACCTAATGTTAGCAATGATCACTCGATGGGGAATCTTGACTTCCTTAACAATGACTACCCTGGAGATGCTGCTTTGTCTGCTGGTTCTGGTGGAATGCAGGTCCCGTTCTTACTAAATGTTGAAGACTCTAGCACTTATAGCACTGTAGGCAGTGATTCTGGTTTTGGAACTGGAATAAAACTAAGGACTCGGCTCAAGCAGAATCAACCTGATGACAAGCAGTTTGGATCTGGAACACAAGGAACTTCTCATAGAAGAATACGTTTCCAAATGAAACTTCAAGCTGGAAGTGTTCAGTGTCGTACGCCTATTGATTCTGATAAGGGTGGAGCAAATTACAAAGGACTGTTAACTGTGTCTGAGGTAAGTCTCCCCAATCCCTCACCCAAAAAAAAAAACAAGCAAAAAGGTGACAACATTGAAATATATTATAATTGGCATGTGCAGAGTGATAAATTCTCCATTGAAGACAGTTCTACTGCTGGAGCTGCTATCTCCAGTGATAAGACACAAGATACCATGTGCAAAGAATTTAAAGGGTATGGTCGAGTGGCTGAAGACTTGAGTGCAAATGCGAAAGATACAGATGATTTTCCAGTTGATGAAGCTTCAAAGACGGCAGCATTGAGTTCATTTTCATCAAGTTTCTACATATCCAAGGCACTCGTAGCTGTAAGTGTAATCATAGTCTTCTTAGGAATTCTGGGGATATGCTTTAAGCTGAGATAGTCTGCTTCCCCAAACGTAATTTTGTAAATAAGTTGTTGATGGATGATAAGAGGTGCTCGCAGTAGCATGAACCCGCTTACCTGTTTTATAGCTGAGGAGCTCGAGCTGAGACAGATTGTAAGTTAATAGTAGTATAGTTTACAACTGGCTTCGTTTTGTACATAAGTTTCTGAAATAGTACCATATCGTGTATGGATTTCAGTTAATTTAGATCTTATCCAAAGATTTGTATAATATGATCATTATTTAGAGTCAAATAACTTTTTCCCCTTATTATAAATGTTTTAGCATGATACTAAATATTTTAATTATAAAAACTATGACTTAATCTACTTTTTATGTAGTTTCTGGAAAGAATTACAAGAAAATACATATGACTTCACACCATAACAAAAAATAGCTCATGTTTTTAAGTTTTACCCTACCTAGCCCATATCGTACATATTTTGAAAGCATTAGTAAATTCAAAATCTATGTTCTTACCACCATTGCTTCTAAAAGCTATGGAGTTAAATCTGTGTTCTCACAACTATTGTTTTTACTCTCTCTTCTTCTCACATCTTCTACATATGCTTCAAGAGGCCATGTGTTTTCTGCTTCTCCCCCTGTTTGCAATGTCAGAAAATTGAAGAGTAGAAGTCCACCATTGAAGGTCATTTAAAGCTTTGCTTTCGAAAATAAGATTTTTTTGAGTTTGTTAGTTGTTTGGATTGGGTGTTGTTCCAATTGATTGAAAATATCAAAAGGAGTTCAAAATTTAAATTTGAAGTGATTTGGAGTAGATTTGAACAAGAGTTGAGTTAAATTTCAGAAAAGATGCAAGGTAGAAGACGAAGTCAATTTTTTGTATAATTATGTATAATCTTGTATAATAGTGTATATGAGTGTATAAACACATCTTATACACTATTATACATTTTTATACACCTTTATACAAGCATCTGTAGACGAACTTCTTCCACGATTTTCAGTTACAATTCTTGTTCAAAACCAGTCCAAATCTCCATTAAATGACTTCAAATTTTATATACAACATCCTTATACTATTTCTAACAAATCTAAATAACACCCACTCTAAATCTCACAAAATCAAATTCGAAATTTAAACCCACATATTTAAGCTTGTTAAAAATTTAATTTTCACCACCCAAATGTATTTGGTTTGTTGAACTAATATTTGAGTCACAACCACTGATTCAAAAATTAACTTAAAAGCTTGAGCAATCTTTTTTTAAAATTAAATAGTAATTTTGAGAATCTTTTGGAGTTGAATATTGAGTATTAGACTATTATTTTTGGGCTAGTTGGTTGTAAATTAAAATAGAGAATTTTTCATAAAGCACCATCTTTTAGGTCTAATTAGCCATCTATAGATATCTTTTGCTATATTACGTGTTATAGATACCTTTTATGTTTTTATACAATGTATTTCATGTATTTAAGCTATTGTATTCATTAATACAACAAAAAAATAGGCGTAAAAACTGGAATTCCAGCTAAGTTTGACATGTATTTAGCTGTATTCAAGCGGCATTAACGTTAAATACAGTAACGTATCTGCACAAAATCTGGAGGTTAAACTGGTTAAAAACGGAAGGAAATCAAATCACATGATATTCTCCTAATTTAACTCAACGAACTAAAATGATCCCTCATTAATCTGTATTTGAAAGATACATAATAAAGATTATAGCTGAATAAAGAGAAATACATATGAATAATATAGTTGAGTAGAACTGTATACAGTTGAATACAATAAAATACAACTTAATTCATCTGAATAAAACACTTGAATACAACAAAATACAATTGAATACAGCTGAATAAAACTCTTGAATGCAACAAAATATAACTAACTTCTACTGAATAAAATAGTTGAATATAACTAACTACAACTGAATACAACTGAATACAGTTGTATAAAACATTTGAATACAACTAACTACTACTGAATAAAATAGTTAAATACAACTGATTAAAACTGAATACAAGAGAATACGCATAACTTTTTAATACATCTAAAATATATAAATGAATGATACTGAATACATGTGAATACAGCTGAAATATACATTCGAATACAACTGAATACAAATAGGCGATTTGGGCGATCTAGAGAGAGAAACAACCTTATGGCTTTGCCGGCCGGCGGCCAGCCATTAATTCCGGCTGGTCAGCCCCCTAACACATCTGCCCAACCTCCTACAACAACTACAAACAATCCCCAGCCCTCAAATCCCACAAACGAAGCCATGAATTACGCAAAAGCTGTGAACCCTACTTCGACGACCACTGCCAAGCAGAATCGAGCCGCTACAGTTGAATCAATTGCGCTTTGTCTATCAAAATCAACGAATTAAACTTACCCTAAGCGATTGTAATGGAGTGATAATGGAGGAGAACTAGAGAATTTGGGTGGGAGAAGAGGTATGAATCGTGGGTTGAGGGAGAAAGAGTAAAGTGTATGCAAAAAGAGAGAGAGAACGTGGTTAGTCAATTTTACTGTGATTATGTGAGAGAAAAGACTAAAAAGGAGAGAGAAAAATATTATTTAGCATATATGGTGCCTTAAATGTAGGATGTAACTATAATTAGATATTTGGCTATAAAGTATAAAAGGTATCTATAGGATATAATATTTTAAAATGGTATTTATTTAAAATAAATAGGGTACTAAGATTTTCTATAGGGTGTAAAAATTCCATTAAAATATAGGTTATAAAATTAATAGTAGGGAGCCCAGTTATTTTTATGTGAAATTTTCCCTAGTTTCTGTTACATAAAGAGTTTTAACTTATATAAAAATATTGTTTTAAAAAAGTTAAAAGTAAGAAAATTAGATAAGTTTTACCTGTCGCCCTAATGCTCCTATCTTCACTTGAGTAATTCTTATGGTAATCTTTGAGTAATCCTCAACAGCATTTAACAAGTTTGGTGGGACCGGAAACAACGTTAAAAATAGTATGGCCTAGCTAGTTTTTAGACTGGTCGTTTAAAAATAGTCACTATTTTGTTGAAACAAGGACCAGTCCAGCATAATATACTGGAGATCGGTGCACCTGTGTATGAACTTCCAGCATATTATGCTGGAACTCCAATATGCGGAAAGTTCCAACATAATATACTGGAGATTGGAGCACCAGTGTATGAACTTCCAGCATATTACGCTGGACCGGTATATTTTACTGGAACTCCAGTATATTATATTGTAGTTCAAGTATACTTATGCTGGAATATTTTTCGGATTTTGAACAGTGTTTTCGTTCAGATTTATATTTACATAAAAAGTAACTAAATTTTAATTATTTTTGAAACTGTAACTATTTTTGAATGATCACTCGTAAATCTAGCTATTTTTGAATTTCTCCCAAATTGTAACAAAAATCATTTACCGAGTGGGCTAGGGGTCGAATTTAAAAACATTCCAAAGCTGATTTTTTTCTAATAACCGTGTTGCTCATTGATTGGAATTTGGAGTTGACTATATACAGTTTCTTCTATTCAAATTAGAAGTGAGCAAAAAAGATCATTTCATTTTATCATTGAAAACAGCGACAAAATGAAAGAAAATCACATAAGTACCCCCCGAGTCAGTCAAAGTGTCAAACACCCAATAGTTGAAGAAAATGCTCTCTTATACCCCCAGAAATAATCTTCAGAGATTGCTACTCCAGTTGTAAATATCCCCTTTACTGTTTGATCGCGAATGGAATTTTACCAAAAACTGGCAACATGTTCTCATTTGTCGCTTTTGTGCTTCATCCTCTTACATTCCATTCAAGTTCAAGGTAGCTACTTTGATCAAGAATATGGTAAGCAGGTACTGAGCTCAGCAATACAAGATAAAGATTGGTTAGTATCCATAAGAAGGATAATTCATGAATACCCAGAACTCAGATTCCAAGAATATAACACCAGTGCTCTCATTCGTACTGAACTTGATAAACTTGGCATTTATTATGAATACCCTTTTGCCAAAACTGGTCTTGTTGCTCTAATTGGCAGCAGTTCTCCTCCTGTTGTTGCTTTACGAGCTGATATGGATGCCCTTCCTCTCCAGGTTCATACACAATTTTTTTACTATCAATCAATTATACCTCAATCGTCAATTAGTTGGGCAGTTATATGCAGTTCGGAGCTAGGTTGTTCCCTAAGGGGAATCAACATATAAAGAAGTAAAGACGAAAAAGCCACGGAGATTCAATATATAGTGTATATACAAAAAAAAAATAAAAAAATTGACCTATTTACCCTGTGTAATTTTCGACCCAAAGGGTATCAGTTAACTCCCCTTGGATAAGGTTGCTCTGCCCCTAGTTATATGAATCTTCTTGTATCTAATTGAGAGGATTCAATATAGTTAAATTATTTATGCACCGGTCGTCAACCTAGCACAATCCTCCAACTTTATTTGAATCTGCAACTGGCTATGCTTTGTGAAGCTTAAATAGGTGTAGTTAGAAAGAAATATTCTTAATAGTGTGCATATTTAGTTATGGAATGTCTCTAACATTATTCTCGAGTGAATATAACCATAGGAGCTTGTTGAATGGGAGCATAAGAGCAAAGTTACTGGCAAAATGCATGGATGTGGACATGATGCCCACACGGCGATGCTTCTTGGCGCTGCTAAGCTGCTGAATGAGCGAAAGGACAAACTTAATGTAAGTTTGTTAACCTTACCCACTTCACTAATGCTGATTCATTTGGAATGTAATTTGTGCTTGTGTGATTCTTTAACAAAAGATTTTTTGCACAATGTTGACCAATGACCAGATTGTCTTGTTCTCAGAAGTAATAATATTAGGTTTGCGCTATAGTGATTATGCTGATCATTTTATCCGTTGTGCTTTGACTTCTTATCTAGGTTTGCATGTACACTAGGCCTTTGGAGCTTATTCTAAAAGGGGGTATTTCTTAAACATAGAGGACTGTAAGAAGATAGATGAAAACATTCTTTAATAGAGGGGGGTATTAAGTGTACTTTGTCGAGATAATGAAAGAACAGACTCAAAAGGAATAGACCAAAAAGGATATCTTTTTGCTTTGTTATCAGATTTAGTTCACTTATTCACATGTCTCCCTCGGAACAGTCCAAATTTCATAGCAGTGTCGCAAAAAAGGAATAGTTGTGCTGTTTGTTATCGATGATGCTTCTTAACTTGGATATGACCATGTTATTCTTTGATTCTTTAAATCTGAAACTTGGATCGTCCTTCTGTGGGTGACTAGCAGTGCCTGTGGGTAATCATTTTTGCCTTTTCCTTAGATGAACATATAAAGTGATTTTGCCCATTGAACATAGTTGTGACCATTCATGATTCATCAATTGTCTCGATGTGGAGAACCTAGCCCTCTGATCCTCCATGGCTTGCGAGTTCACATCCAGATGAAGCAACCAGAGAAACTAATTCAGGCATGACGAGAAATTTTCCGGTCAAGAGAGAGGATCGATCAGAACCTGTTGAAGGAAATGGTAGATGACGGAGCATTGGCCCAAATCAATTTCTCTCTGGAACCACGAAAAAGAAGCTGAGAAGACCGATAACTTCTATCTACATTACAATAACAATACATGGCTGCATGTATAGGAAACGAGGAAACCATGAATGTTTTTTTGAATTCTTTTTTGCTTGACCAATAAAAAGGAATTCAAGACTGAACCACACTTTCTAATTACTTGTTAGTCTGTAATTGTCTGACTGATACTATTAGATATTTCTTTTCAACTTTATAAGAATACATTTGTCACATGACACTCGTAAAGCACTGTTCGAATTGACTTAATCTGTTTTTGCCCTTTGTGTGGCATCATTCATTATCTATCCATTCTTGGGGTAGTCTACAATAGAAAGTTGATTTGTTGCTTGTCTCTATTTTTATTTTTTGAACCCGAAAAGGGAACGGTAAGACTTGTTTTCCAACCTGCGGAGGAGGGAGGAGCTGGTGCATATCATATGATCAACGAAGGGGCTCTAGGTGATGCAGAAGCTATATTTGGAATGCATGTTGATTTTAAAAGACCTACAGGGAGCATCGGTACTAGTCCTGGGCCGATTTTAGCTGCTGTTTCCTTCTTTGAGGCAAAAATAGAAGGAAAAGGTGGGCATGCTGCAGAACCCCATGCTACTGTGGATCCAATACTTGCTGCATCATTTGCAGTTGTGGCATTGCAGCAGCTCATCTCAAGAGAAGTAGATCCCCTTCATAGTCAAGTATGTAGCCTAATCTCAATTAGAAGTATAAATCTTTGGTTTACACACACACAGAGACACACAGACACATAATTATGTAGGTACATATATTCCCTTCAGGAACATTTCTTGTTTTAGAAAGCAGTATAGCATTTGAGACCTGAAGCCTCATTGACAGTTAAGCTGACTGAGATTGAAATTCTCATTTCTGCCTGAAGGTTCTTTCTGTTACTTATGTCAGAGGTGGATCAGCATCAAACGTAATTCCGCCTTATGTTGAATTTGGGGGAACTCTGAGGAGTCTTACAACTGAAGGCTTGCTTCAACTTCAAAAGAGGGTGAAAGAGGTAGGTTGCTTACATGAACCTTTGACTGTTGTTGACTATCAACATCTGCACACTAGATTGTCTGCCAGATGTCTTCAACATGTAGTTTTCTGTTAAAAAATTTAGTGATTTTTTTGAGTGATGTTTAATAGCCTTAAACTGAGCCTTCTTAGGTACTGAGAGCTACGTAATCAAATTAATAAGATTAAGGGTGAATAATTCTCGAACACGTGTTCACATGAATATAGAAGTCTCAGCTGAATGAATGATATAACTTGTGGTCTGCTTGCAATTTTCCCATGAAAATGCCATGTAACTCTAGCATTCATAACTGATCATCTTTCCCTGCTTTGCTTCTCTTTCTTTGTCAAAATCAATTTTATGCCTGTCCTCAACATAGAAGCTTATCATTTTTATTATTGAATCCTCTATTTCTATTTCGCATTGTTGAATTAGATGCTAATCGTCTTCAATGTCAAGTATTGCGGCAAGATCTTACTAATTAATGTGAACAGAACCTAGATTTCTTGTGGCAATTTTGTGCATTTGTAACACATATTTACATGGAGCCTGCAGGTAATTGAAGGACAGGCTGCTGTGCATAGGTGTAAGGCGTACATTGACATGAAAGAGGAGGATTTCCCAGCATATCCAGCTTGCATAAATGATGAGCGCTTACATCAACATGTAGGGAGGGTTGGCAAACTCCTGCTTGGTTCCGAGAACATCAAGGAAACTGAAAAGGTTATGGCAGGTGAGGACTTTGCCTTCTATCAAGAATTGATCCCTGGAGTTATGTTTCAAATTGGAATCAGAAATGAAAAACTGGGCTCTACCCACGCTCCACACTCCCCTCACTTCTTTCTCGATGAGGATGTCCTGCCAATTGGAGCAGCGTTGCACACAGCCATAGCAGAGATGTATCTGAATGATTACCAACATCCCATTGCGGTTTAGATAATTTACATTGTTGTTAGTTAAATGTTCCAATCACTACTCATACATTCTGTGCATTGTATATGTTATAACGATTAACAATTAAATTGAAAGTGATGACTGTCTGTTCAGGTAGTTCATTTGCCATGGTAACTCTAGCGCTCTTTAAAGTTTCTCTTCCAATAACCCAATAACCTTTGAATTTTGGTATTCCTTTCCCTTTATTTTGGTATTATCTGTATCCAAGTATTCTGGCTATTGCACTGGTTTAATGAAATAATATTGTTTAGATCCAAAAAAAAAAAAAAAAAAAAAAAA